TAATCCAAGACTGAGTGCTGCAGACAGTAGGCTGTAATAGGGTTTATATAAGTTATAGTTTGTAAAATTGTTATTGTTGTAATTTCTGTCCAAAATACGCTGAGGCGCCTGTGTTTTTTGTCCACATTGGTCAGTTTGGTCAGTTTTGTCCAGATTCGTCAGTTTGTTTGTGAAGCCAGTGTTAGCTACGTGGATGAACTAAAATTAAATGAACTATTTTCAACGGTTGTTTCTAACGACTACACAATTACAATTCACAGTGACGCTGGGCTAATGGTTCGCCCATTAGCAGATGCTAACAGGCTAGCCTGCTTACCAACGTTTCATCTTGTCTCTTTTTTTGAAAATGTTGAAAAATATATGTTAAAAATAAAGCTTTCATCAATTAATGAATTATGTTTCATAAACTACAGAAAATACAAAACAAAATCTGTTTTTTTTTCATTTATTCCTTATTTGGCTTTCCTGTCTGACAGATTCAACTGACTCTCTCAGTCTGACTGTGTTCGTTCGATCGAATCTTGAAAAATACAATTATGTCCTGCGCACAATTATTTGCCAGTCAAGGAGCCTGTTTTACTTGGAATTACGTCACGTGTTTTACGTGACAGTGTTTTGTTGATTTTCTAAGTGAAAATAAGTTTACACACCCTCTACAAAAACTTCAATATGCCATATGCACGATGTCCCTTTATTTGCTGAGTTTAACATATTATATACTCAGGCCATATTTTGTGTTTTTTTCCCCAATATGTTACAATCAGAAAATAAATAGTAAATTATACTTTAAAAATGAGAGAATGAGAGTTTGCACTTTTTCCACTTAAAAAAGTCAACAAAAACATGTAATTTGACCAGGGGTGCCCAAACTTTTGCATGCAACTGTAGTCAAAAGCCTTCATAAAGTTGGAGCTCCTGAAATCGGTTGTGAAACTCTCTTCATCCAAAATGGCATGTGCCTGACCAGTGTCACTATTTCCCTGTTTTGTAAGTAGCCAGGTATGTCTTTCAGCGGTTGTAGGCATTCTGCCCCTTCGTATTGCAAACCCCACCCGTATTGCAAACCCCACCCGTATTGCAAACCCCACCCGAATCCCCCAAAAATGCATTGTGTGTAGTTTTAATGCAAGAAAAAAGTTTTTATGATGTTTAGTAATGCCATGTTTGGTGTGTGAGTGGGCTTTGAACAGGTTGTTTTTATTACTGTGCCTTTAAGACATATATATGATCTCTGTTCTGTTTAGGCTGCTCTGTATTGTTTTCAAAAAGCAGTCTGAGCTAAAACACTCCTTATAACTTAAGTGGTAGTAAGCAGATCTAAACTGCTGCAGGCTGAGTATGCAGAAAGACTATGCACAGACTGAGACTGAACGATGTGTTTGAAATGGACACTGCATTGTTTTTTTAAATGTATCTGTGTCCAGAGAGGATATATTTTGTTTTACTTTTAACCCAGTCGTTTTATGCAGGCATTGCGCTTAGATTTATACTATAAAAAGCTTTCTAATTACACGGTCTGTATTTGGGATGTGCTGTTTTCTTGTGGAGTGGCCTGTGATGGACTGGTGACCTGTCCAGGGTGTATCCTGTCTTCTGCCCATTGACTGCTGGGATAAGCTCCAGCTCCCCCCGCAGCCCAGAACGATAACGTGTGTGTGTGTGTGTGTGTGAGTGTGCGTGTGTGTGTGAGTGTGTGTGTGTGTGTGTGTGTGTGTTTGTGTGTATGTGTAAGTGTGTGTGTGTGTTGTCTTGTAGAGTGACACAAAATGTCAAAATATTTATAGTTTCATAGTCAATTACATTTTCTTCTGAACTGTCAGGTTTAAATCTGCGCTTCAGGCTTTTTTCCACTTGTCAAAAAATGGCAAAAACATGGAAAAAAAATGTAACAGATGTTTTTTTTTTAATCTGTGAGACACTAACTTTTCATTAAGTTTAATTTACAATACAACATCTGTTCTTTTATTTACACATAGAGACGGCCGGGCTTTTAGAGGCATTAAACTCCCCAGACATCTGGTTCCTATCACCACTATTGTGGACCATTGTGAGTCTGGAAGTTTCTCTAGAATGGAACATTTCATATCAGACCACTCTGACTGACTTCATTCATTACATCCTAACCACTTAGTTCTGTAGAAATTTCAAGTGAAATGCTTCATTTAAAATAGCAAAGTTTAAAGCTTAATAGTCTCTAAAGAAACTATCATATTTAGTGATGTAACCAAAATCTTTAGGACCAAAAGGTCACTGCCCCCCAAACAAAAATCACTTTCAATGTGAATAAAAAAAAGAAATGGCACAGTAATTTTAATGCAGTTTCTATTTTGATGTCTCAAACAAGTTGATGCCCTAATGTTTACATTAGACTACACATTTGGATCGTAATCATTTTATATATTTCACTGATTGGCTAAATAAGGTTATGTAGATATATTTTTTAAATATATTTTAAAAATATATTTTAAAAAATCACATTTTATCATATTTTGATAAAATACATATTTTCATATATTATTTGAAGGTGATTATTTTGCCTCTGGGCGGCACGGTGGCGCAGTGGGTAGCGCTGTTGCCTCAGTAAGAAGGGCCTGGGTTCGATTCCCGGCCGGGTGACCAGGGTCCTTTCTGTGTGGAGTTTGCCTGTTCTCCCCGTGTCTGCGTGGGTTTCCTCTGGGTACTCTGGTTTCCTCCCACAGTCCAAAGACATGCAGTCAGGCTGATTGGACATGCTGAATTGCCCCTAGGTGTGACTGTGTATGTCTGTCTGCCCTGCGATGGACTGGCGACCTGTCCAGGGTGTATCCTGCCTACCGCCCATTGACAGCTGGGATAGGCTCCAGCACCCCACCGCGACCCAGAAGGATAAGCGGTTTAGATGATGTATGTATGTATGTATTTTGCCTCCTTAGATTTTAGAATTAGAAATAATGACTATATCATGTTGCATGTTCTATGGAACCTTTTGAAAACGGTTATTATGGATGATGCATTATGAATAAGAAGGAGATAAATGGACATTATTGTTGTCTGAGTCATGTTGATTGAAGCTGGTTGTTAAGAAACTGGATCTTTTTGTGAGTCATAGCTGCAGCTGTGTTAGTATCTACATGAGTGGCCCAGTAAAGATTTTAGGGGGCTTGGTTGCTGTGAGCCCCCCCCCCGTCCCTGGCGCACATTGTCCCTCTGCTCCCCCCAAATACTTTCGGTATCTGTATCAGCCAATGCTCAAGGTTACAACATTGGTATGGTTATCGACCAGTACTCAAAGTTTCAATATCAGTATCATATTTCGGCTAACACTGAAGGGGTCAGTATCAGTACTGGCCAATACTCAAGGTTACAGTATTGATATTGGTATCCATATCAGCCAATACTCAAGTTTTTTAATATTGTTATCGATATCGGCCAATACTCATGGTTTCTATATCATTATTTATATCAGCCAATACTCAAGATTTCAATATTGGTATTGGTATCAGTCTCTATATCAGACAATACTTAAGGTTTCAATATCGGTATCAATATCGGCCGATACTCAAGGTTTCAGTATTGGTACTGGTATCTATATCAGCCAGTACTCAAGGTTTTTAATATTGTTATTGATATCGGTCAATACTCATGGTTTCTATATCATTACTGATATCAGTCGAAACTCAAGATTTCAATATTGGTATTTTTATCAGTATCCGTATCAGCCAGTACTTAAGCTTTCAATATCGGTATCATTATTGTATTGTATCTGTGTTGGCCAATATTCAAGGTGGCAATATCAGTGTCGGTATTGATATCCGTACTGGCCAGTACTCAAGGTTTCAATATCATTATCAACATCAGCCGATACTCAAGGTTTCAGTATTGGTATTTGTATCTGGAATCCAAATCTTTACGTATGGTTTCAGAATCGGTATCATTATCGGTATCATTACCGATATCAGCCAATACTCAAGGTTTTTGATGTTGTTATCGATATCGGCCGGTACTCAAGATTTCAATAAGGTACTCCTTACACATCACAGCTAAAGACTATTGTATATACTTACCTATACTTACCTTCATCATCCTTATCTCTAAGAACTGAACAGAGAACTGAGTGTGTACTCCTGAGTTTAGAAGTCTTTCCTTTGTAGAAGGGGAGGTAGGAATAAAACCTGTAAAAGAGAAAATTGTGTACACTGTAATTGATAAAGAATGCTTATGACGTCATGACTGTGAATTTGAACAGTGAGTGGAGATAATGCAATATAATTACAGTTGTATGTAAATTATGTGAATATTCAGTACTCTTGTTTTACCCCAGGTTAGTAATGGTTTATTCTAGGGGAGGAGCTACCTGGGCAGAGATTCTTTCAGCTCAGAGAGGTGATGAGCTGAACTGTGATAAGTGTGTATGATCTACATGACTTCTCAATCATAGGTCCATGCTCGCTGGTCGTAGAGATTTGCAATTTTTAGTTTTGGTTTTTTGTATCAAGTGCGCACGTTTGTAAATATGTAAATAGCTGTAATTGTCGGTGTGTAAATAAAGGAGAAGAGCTCTTGTGCATGCCTAACTTTTTCCAGGTCCTGAGACCATTCGCCCAACACTACCCATAGAGTGTGCCCCCTACTACGGCATACTGCAGGGGTCGAGAGACGCGCTTTATCACAGAATCCATGTCGGCCAGTATTCAAGGTTTCAGTATTGGTATTGGGATTCCTATTGGCAGATACTCAAGGTTACAGTGTGGGTATCTGTAATGGCTACAATAGTTTCAATATAGGTATCAGAAGAGATAAAGTGTGGTGCCATCTCTGCTGATGAACACAAACATTCTCTTGATTGCAAGTTTAGAATCTGCACTTTTGACAGAATTTCTCTGCTTGTATTGATGAGTTATGAACGTTATGGAAGCGTACTCACAGTTGGAGAACATGTAGGGTTACCATATCATTTTTGATTCTGTACTATCTCACACCCTCTGTCCCTCTCTCTCTGTATGTGTCTGTTTGCTGGACAGGCTGTGAAGACCCATATGCGGACTGAATGTAAATGCCACGGTCTGTCCGGCTCCTGTACGCTCCGCAGCTGCTGGAGGAAAAATGCCTCTGTTCCGGCAGGTGGGCGACCACCTCATGGAAAGCTACCACGCGGCGGTCCGAGTGATGGGCAGCAACGATGGCAAATCCCTCATTCCCGTGGAGACGGATATCCCACTCCCGGGAGCCCACAGCCTCATCTACTCGGACGAGTCCCCGGACTTTTGCTCGGCTAGTCGCAGGACGGGCTCGGAGGGCACACGGGGTCGCCTGTGTAACAGCACAGAGACAGGGCCTGGAGCCTGCGACTGGCTGTGCTGCACTAAAGGACATACGCAGCTAACTCTGGAATACGAGGAAAACTGCCAGTGTCAGTTCCAGTGGTGCTGCGTGGTCCAGTGTGAGAGATGCACAGTGAGGAGGGAGGTCAGCGTCTGCCTTTAGACTGCTCACTGACTCTGTTCTATTTAGTCTCAGCCTCAGATGCTCCGCCCTCTGAGACATACAGATCATGATATTTATTGTTTGCTAAGGTGGCCGAACCTTTCAGGATTATGTCAGTTGCTCTCTGATAGACTTTCTTGGCGCTCCTCCATGCACCATTTATTATTTTTTTTTCCTTTTTTCTAGGTATAAGTTTATTTGAAGGCTGCCTACACAGGGAGTTCATGACACATACATAAGCAATGAACAATATATTTAAAAAGCACTGTAGTGACTTAAGGTGCCTAATGAAGTAAATGCCATTGTATTGACAGAGGTCTTATTGAACTGAAGGGCTCTTAAACTAATGTTATGCACATTTATAACACTGTTATGAAGCAACATTTCCAACAGAACTGATGATACTTCATAATGGTGTTGTGGAATTGAACAAATGACCATCACTTAAGTTTAGGGACCTTTACAGTACTGTGCAAAAGTTAGGGACACAGTCAAAATGGCCAGAAAGTTGTTAATTTTTTTAACATCAGGAAAAAATACAGAAAAATCGTCTATCTAACAGAAAATTACATATGCACCTCCAGCACAAATATAATATAAATTGTTCAGTATTTAGTGTGTCCACTCTTTGCATGTACTACAACTTCCATTCTTTTCCAGAGACTTGCTTTCCATTTTTCAAAGAAGTAGATTTCTGCTTTTTTTTACATTTGGAAGTTTACATTACATTTTCTGCTTCTCACAATCCAAGTATGCTTCTTCTTCTTTGTTTGATTCGTAAAAAGTTTCTTCTTTTTTCGTCTGTCTCCTTTTCTCAGTGAGGCACATCCTCTCAGACTCATAGTATTGAGTCGTCTTCTCACAGTGGAAGGATGGACAGAAACACCTGTGGACGTTTTGAGATCTGAAGCAGCTTGATTTTCTCTTCTCTTTCAAAGATGAAAGCTTTCAGTGCTGTTTATCTGATGGTGGTAGTTTTGATGTCTACCAGGTCTTGCATGGTTATTAAGAGGCACAATTTCTCTGTATCATTTTTGAGGTTTCGAAACTCCTTTTTTTCACTTAGGGCATTTTCAAAGTTTTTTTTTCTGAACCTAGGACCACTTGCTCTGCGAGTACATTTGGTCAAATGTGAAAGCTGTTTTCAATTCATGCTCTGTAAAAAAAAAAAAATGTGAAAGCTGTTTTCAAGGCTGGGAGTGCTCAAGAGAACCAATCTCTGATCTTCCTGAAATTGGTGGTCTGGGTTTTGCTTCCAGCTGTCCACTGCGCATGTGGAAGGCATCTGCTTCCAGTGCCATGTGTAAGGTTGCATGATGCGTTAGTTTGTAACTTGAGTGCTTCAACTTATCACGTTACTTCCCTTGTCAAGTTTTGTGATGGTGGGGAACTTGAGTGTTTGTGTCCAGGGAAAATAATACAAAGCAGGAAACAAATGAAGCTGGTGCCTAACATTTTGCAAACTTGCATGCAGAAAAACGATGTATGGAATTCAAAATCAATACACGATTCGGATGGAATTCTTGTGTGTGAAAACAAACCAGCTATAATGACCCCCTCCACCAAATGAGCCCATAATCAGTCCTGGGTGTGGACTCCAGTATTCAGGACAAGTATGAAAACACCCTAAATTTCCATTGACTTTCTTCCTTATGCAAGTGAATTATCTTATATCTAATCTTTTCAGAAATATCTCCTAAAAAAGTAAACATTGTACTTATTATCTGTTTTGAAATTAAATAAATCAAGGGTTTTCTTTGACTTAGTACTGTATGTCAATATAAAGACATTTACTTCATAAAACATCTTATCTTGTGAACAGTGACATATGCTGTCTATAAATACTTAAGTGCTGCTTTTAAAGTACAATGTTCAGTGTTTATTCATGTATTGTGAAATCTTCATGTAGGCTGCCTTCAAATAAAGTGTTACCTTTTTTGTTTTTCAAGCTAAATACAAGCTAGTCACCAGCAGCAAACATGGTAGCCACAACGAGCCTTTTGGAGATGTAGTCACTGGATTGAAAAGAATTCTCGGCCTCAAGTACGTTATTCAACAGCTTTATGTGGAGCAATTAATAGCAAGTAAATGCAATTTGCTTATCTCTCAAAAGGTTGAAGCACCGTTTTTACAGTCATATGCCAATACCTGTCATGCAGAAACAATGGTTTGTGGATGGTTAGGTTGAATGTCAGTCAAACAGCCCCTTCCTGTCAAATTAGGTGGTTCTTGGACAAGTTTAGCAACAAAACCACCAGACTGTCTGATATACAGTAGACTCTTTTTGGTCTATAGACCTCAAATGATGATGATTGTGGAACTATCACTGTAAACATGTTTGAAGGTGCATTGAAGCCACCATAACAAGACATTGAGACATCGAGGAATAAGGAAGCCATACTATGTTAATACGTCAATGCAACTGAATATTGTCTCGGGTTAAGACTTCCCCTCTTTGGTTCTTCAACCATAGGAACAGTCATATGGTTTAGCTTTCCTCCCCGTGTCCTTAACAGACTTCCACAGACCTAAAACAATGATGATTGTATATATACTGCTGTAAATAAATTTGATACAGACGAGCTATCATAACTAGAAAACACTGAGGAAGCTACTGAAGCTGTGCTATGTTAATAATAAATCGATGCATGAATTATTGTGTAGGAAATAAAATTTCCCCTTGTTTGTGGACCATGGAGATCAAGTGTTATGGTCAAACTTATACCATTTTGACTGCTGTAGATGTATAATGGTGGAAACATTGCTGTAAATAAGGTTGGTAGGCTTTTGTTTTCTGTCTGCTACCATAGATATTTTATTTTTTATTTTATTTTTATGTGTATTGAGATTAGAAGTGATTCACACATTGATGGATTTGCTGCTGTGTGTGTGATTATGTTTCTCACACTAAACTGGGTTTTTAACATCAGGTGCAGACCGAATACTTTCTTGCTGGTCCGGACGGCTAATTATCACGATCAGTTATTAAAGTAATAAAAGCTACCGAGAGCAGTCCGTGCAACCTAGATGTGTCTATGTCTGAGGATAATAACAAAACAAATTTGGTGAAAATCAGTTGAGTAATAAGGAAGTTGTGGCTGATTTAATCCTGAGACTCATCGTCTCTCAATACAAGTGAATCTGTTCACAAGCGGATCTTGACCTCTCCAACATGGCGGACGCGCAGACGTATCGCCTCAGATAGAGAACAACAGACAACGCGCCATCTAGGTGTGTGTATCTATGCCTGCTACCAGCATTAAGTACGCAATGCCACCACCTGCTGGCGTGGTACTGTTATTACACTAAAATAACGTTTTGGAGCCCATTCACAACGTGTCTGAAACGTTCCAGAACCAACAGAAAATATGGTTCCAGTTCAAGTTCATGTTTCACTGGCTTGAGATCCAGCTAGAACTGTCATAATAACCCCGATTAACCTTTTTTTTGGTCATTTTATGCCACTTCTAAGCTGATTTGTCTAATTAGCTACCTTCATTCCCATGCACAGACATTTTGGGGGGCAGGGGCTCAAAGGAAATAAAAGGGGCAACTTGAAGGTGAATGAAATGTAGTTTATTTTCATAGCATCAGTCTAAATTAATGTAGAGTGGTGTTAGAACCCTTAGAGCCAAAACCTGATTGTTTTTTCCTTTGTAATGGAAATTGGCTTCATGGTTACCATCATAGACCACTCGTTTCCTGTAGGTCACCTTTAGATCCCATTAGAAAACCATTAAATGCCTTTAGAATCAGAATCAGATCACCTGTTAAACCATTAGAATCCTTTGCACTGTGATATCAACCCATAAGGAAAACACAAAATACTATTACTGGACACCATCAGGAACCAACAGAAATGTTTAATGGTTTCTTTAATACATATATACATACATACATCATCTAAACCGCTTATCCTTCTGGGTCGCGGTGGTGGTGCTGGAGCCTATCCCAGCTGTCATTGGGCGGAAGGCAGGATCCTGCCTTCTGGTTTCTTTAATTATTTCCCCAAATCTTTCCCAAAGGCACTGAGGGGGAATTACAATTTTCCAAATTTCTGCATATTTAACTATGTAAACAACATAATTCAGAGAGGTTTGGTGTCTAATGTTCCACTTTCCATTTGACCTCCATGAAGAATGTTTTTACAATATTTTTACAGTGTTTAAAAAGTTATATTTTTACTGATTAAAAAACATTTTTACTGCCAATGTTATGTCTGATTGTTGTTCAAAATAACCACATAAAGGGATGTGACGCTTTCTAAGAGAACTTATCAGCGTTCTGTTGGTGGGATTGGCTGTTGTGATGATTCCATCCGATTGCATCCTGCGCCAGAGGTTACTGAGTGTTGATTGATTAGCGTTACTGCTAGTGAATGCTGATTGGTTAGCATTGCTTCTACTGAGTGTTGATTGATTAGCATTACTGCTCCTGAATGCTGATTGGTTAGCATTACTGCTGCTGAGTGTCGATTGGTTAGCATTACTGTTACTGAGTGTTGATTGGTTAGCATTCCTGCTTCTGAGTGTTGATTGATTAGCATTACTGCTACTGAGTGCTGATTGGTTAGCATTACTGCTACTGAGTGCTGATTGATTGGCATTAATGCTACTGAGTGCTGATTGGTTAGCATTAATGCTACTGAGTGCTGATTGATTGGCATCAATGCTACTGAGTGCTGATTGATTAGCATTAATGCTACTGAGTGCTGATTGATTAGCAATAATGCTACTGAGTGCTGATTGGTTGGCATTACTGCTACTGAGTGCTGATTGATTAGCATTAATGCTACTGAGTGCTAATTGGTTAGCATTAATGCTACTGAGTGCTGATTGATTAGCATTACTGCTACTGAGTGCTGATTGGATAGCATTACTGCTACTGAGTGCTGATTGGTTAGCATTTGCTACTGAGTGCTGATTGGTTAGCATTACTGTTACTGAATGTTGATTGGTTAGCATTACTGATACTCAGTGTTCAGTCCGATTTTTTTTTTCAGTTTGCTTTATAAATGTTTTGGGCTGGGTGCTGACCGTAATGCTGAAGCACAAATGGACAGCTGTCATTCAATGCAGCATTGTCCATAGTGCTGAATCATGGGCTGTGCTTGCTCCAGTCAGTTTCCCTGTTTTAAAACCTTCTTTGACCCATCAGACAATGGCTGAGCTATATGTGAGGTGTGTTGGAGCAAGAAACAAACAAATGTCCAGCGAAGATCCTCAGAACGAGGACTCAGAAACTCAGGTGTCATGATCATACAGCAAGAAAAGCACTCACCATGCCCTACCAGCCTTATTCAAACTGACCACTAGATGGAGCAATTGCATGAGTTTGTAGGTCACTTCTGGGGCTTGTGTGAACAATCAAATTGCTTCACACCTGGCCTGGACTGTCAGCAGGTGGATTTTCATTATAGGTGGATATCGCTATTATTTCTGCATGAATAAACCATTAATATGTAAACAAATTAATTCAGGTGAAATTTAGAGAAATTTCCCAATTCAGTGGTGGTGATAGGAACCAGACGTCCAAAGCACTTAGTGTCTCTAAAAACTGCCTCCCAGAAAACTATTACATGAAATGGTATTGAATATGACTGAGACATTATTTTATGATAGCTTGCATTAAGAGTTTGGTCTAAAATGTTTTGTTTAAAGGCAGAAAGATACATGCAGAGCTTTGCAAGGCAAATTAGTAAAAGAAAACTTTTTTTTATTTATTTATTATTATTTTACCATTAACCGTATCACAATTTAAAACTCAGAAGACACATGTAGGTTCGCTGATTGTTTTAGATAGAAAATAAAACGGCTGTATTTGTGTTACAGACATCATGACCCCTGGTTCCTATCACCACCACTGTAAAGAAATCTGAGCAGGTAAGTTCCTCCACAGGGCTTCATTTCACACCAAACCACCCTGAATGAATGTTTACATCTAAACAAATGGGTTCCTAGAAGAACCTTTCAACCAATAGTTGAAATAGTTTGAAAAACATTCTGTAAATGAGATGTGAGGGTATGAAGAACCTTTTTAAAGATTTAAGAGCCTCCTCATATGTAAAGTTTCCAAATCAAGGGAAGGTTTTTATTTAGGATCCGTTAAAGATCCTACACTTTTCATGTATTTCACCTTTTTTCCCTGAGATCCACTTATAAAGTTTATGTAATTTTAAGTAGCAAAAACATAATTTCGTCATAAATTATTTTCCTACCTCTCTTGTTTCCTTAGAATGAAACTGGCTGCTTTTGTCACTTTAAGACTGATATATGTAAATAGCTTCTGTTCTGATTGGCTATCCAGTATCACCTCATTCAGAATGCAGTCTGGGCTGGAACACTCCTTATAACTTTAGTGTGAATGGGCGGGGCTAAACTGCTGTAGGCTGAATAGACAGATATATCACTGCTGTCGGAAGAAAACCTTGTATCTCCGTTTTTGACGTTTTTCAGTTTTTAACAGAATTTGAAAGTACTTGTTGCCTTTTAGATTGTGTGTAAATTTCATGATGAATGGACTAAAAGACATGACCCAAAATGACTTGGTAAAAAGTCTGATTCCATTGACTTACATTGAAGGTAAAGTAGGTTTTTTCCTTCTCCTGTAAAGTTACCACTTTGGAGATACGAGGTTTTCTTCCGACAACAGCAACGTGTAAATGGGTTGTTTTCTGTGACATCACAAAAACAGTGAATTCAGCATTCATGTATGGACTGTATGGTATGTTTTGCATCTTTAACAATGTTTATGCAGCTCACACTTCAAAAAGACGGTTCTTTAAGGGTTCTTTAGAACCATTTCATGCTTAATGGTTCTTTGCATGCAAAAAAATGGTTCTTCAAGGGTTCTTTAGTAAAGACACAAGTTCTATATAGAACCTTAAACAGTTAAAGAACCATTTGCATGGTGAAATGGTTCTACAGCTTTACCGAGTGTGTTGTCTGTGGTTCTAACCTTTTTGAAAAGGGTTCTAAATAGCACCAAAAAGGGTTCTTCTGTTGTTACAAGCTTGACATCGTAACACCAGAGCAACCCTTTTTGGTGCTATTTAGAACCCTTTTCAAAAAGGTTCTATATAGAATCATATACAACACACTCTCCATCAGTCTGAAGTATTCTGCATAGGTCTGTATACAACATCAAACTCTTTTATTTAAAAATGAAAGTGAGGAAAATTATTTTTAAGAGTGCAAAGATATTTTAGCACTGTGTTGAGGCTGCGAAGTTTGGATATCCAGATACTAACAAATTTCCTCTCTCTCTCTCTCTCTCTCTCTCGCTCGCTCTCTCTCTCTCTCTCTCTCTCTCTCTCTCTCTCTCTGCAGACAGGAGGTGAGAAATGTTGAAATGTTGGCGAAACTGAGAAGCAGATGTGCTGTGTGGTGTCATGTGAATCTGCTTTCCCCTTTCCCAGTCCCCCTCTCCGTCTTTCCCTTCAAGCTTTTTTAACCTTCCTGTTATCTTTGGGGTCAATTTCATTCAACGTTTAACATCTCTAAATAAATGATTGACCATTTTTTGTTTCATATTATTGAATTATTTGCCTAATTTATAGGGAACAACGGGACAAGCATGAAATTAACATGATGTTTTCAATGTCATGTGCACATTTTGTACACTCTGAGAAATAAAGGTAGTAAACTGTCACTCTCAAGGGTTCATCTCAGTACCTTTAGTCAGGGAACATAACTGTACCATAATCCACTGAAATGATATTCTCTAAGCTGTATTGACTCCACACACCCCGTCTCGTCTCCAGGACTTTTATTTATTGTTCTGTTTTAAAACATTCGGTTATGAAAAGGTACAAATACGAACTTTTCACCTGGAAAAACTTATTTAGGCCTTAAAACCACTGTTGTACCTTTGAGGGAACATTTACATTGTTTGTACCTTGTGTAGCTGCACAGAACCTTTATTTCTAACAGTGTATGCATCATCAGTGCTCTTTGGGGTCAGTTTGACCCCAGGCTGTTTCAGTTGCATGAAACATAAGAAATATCAACATTTTACACATTAGTTTTAGATGAAATTGAGGTCAATATGTCTTCAAAACGCTTTGGAGATTTAGAGCCCTGACCTAACATAACCACACCTGTAGTACCACTGATGGTTAACACCACTTGTGGGAGGGGAAAACAGAAAGCCCACCAGATCTTCGATATTCCCTGGAGGTTTAAATTTCTGGGGTCAAACTGACGCCAAGGATGAGAGATGTTAGCAAATGTGAGGAGAACAGGAGGCTTAGAGCACTCGTTCAGAAATCACCAATCAGAGGCGCATTTATGCGTCACATCGAACATTATATTTTATATAACGCTTCTCTTTTTACTGGGTTAAAGCCGAAAACGCCGCTACAACCCGAATCAAAAATAGCAAACTGAAGCAGACAGTCTAACCTATAAACACGGACAGGCGAGAACCGGAGAGACGTTTCCTCTCCCTGTGCTCTGATTGGCTGCCCAGTCCGTCAGTCATGGCGAGTCGCTCTGTGATTGGACGGTTGGTGGAGGATCAGCCCGGTTGACAGATCTGTACCGTGTGTGTTTTTTGCCCGGCTACAAATCTCAGGTCCTGCCCCTTCCTCGCGCTCTGGCGGGGGCTGCGCGCGCACCGGGGATGCAGAAGGAGTGGCGGAGCGCGCGCGCGTGAACACTCGCCGCACACTCGCCCGGGCTGCTTCTGCACGCGCCGCGTTCCCTCTTCGATTCCACATCTGCGCTTTTTGTCATTTCTGTTTTTTTCTCTCTGTTTTTTTTTCTCTTCAGCGTCCGTGCGATGGTCCAGTGAGCTGTAAATGGACGCGAACCTCTGGCTGTGATCTGGCACCCCCGATCCCCCAACCCACCGGGGCAGCGCGCGAGACGTAGCGTTGGGCGAAATAAAGAGGGGGCCCGGTGGGTGTTGGTCGCGAGCCGCGAAACATGGGCACCGTGCTCTCCATCTCTCCCACCTCCAGGAAAGGGGGGATCGTGGACGAGAAGACGGCGGAGGGCGGCCGCGGCGCGAGCGGCAAGGCGGAGAAGAGCCTGAAGCGCCCCTCGGTGCTCATCTCAGCCCTGACGTGGAAGCGCCTGGTGGCCGCGTCGGCCAAGAAGAAGAGCGCCAAGAAGGTGAACCCCAACCCACCCGCGCCTCAGCTCGGCAACCCCGTGGAGCAGCTGAACACCGAGAACCTCAAGAAGTCCCAGTCAGGATCCGAGCGCAAGAAGCCGGGACCTCTAGCCGTGCCGGTGCCCACCGTCCCTGACAAGAACCTCCGGGCCGGACAAGCGCCCAACGGCTCCCAAAGCGGCAAGCAGCTCCTCTCGGTCCAGAGGCAGCCCAGCAGCCGCTCCATCATCTCCCCGCGCCGGGTCATCGTCCAGGCGTCGACCGGGGAGCTCCTGCGCTGCCTGAGCGAGTTCATGTGCCGGAGGTGCTACAAGCTCAAGGAGCTGAGCCCCAACGAGATCATCCTGTGGTTCCGCAACGTGGACCGCTCGCTGCTGATCCAGGGCTGGCAGGACCAGGGTTTCATCACCCCGGCCAACCTGGTGTTCGTGTACCTGCTCTGCAGAGAGGCCGTGACCGAGGACGTGTCCAGCGAGTACGAGCTGCAGGCCACGTTCCTCACCTGCCTCTACCTGGCCTACTCGTACATGGGCAACGAGATCTCGTACCCGCTCAAGCCCTTCCTGGTGGAGACCAACAAGGAGGTGTTCTGGGAGCGCTCGCTGCGCATCATCGACCGCATGAGCGCCAAGATGCTGCGCATCAACTCCGACCCGCACTTCTTCACCGAGGTCTTCCAGGACCTCAAGAACGAAGGAGGCTCCAAGGACGCGGACGGCAAATGGACCAGTAACCTGGACCGCTAGGCCTCGGCTCGCCTTTTGCTTTTGCAACGGGAGAGGGAGAGAAGCTGAGAGGCTCTCTGTTACCTCCCCCACCCTCCTCTCCTCCACAGCCGTCCACCGAGAGGCGGATTTGAATGTAAAGGCCCGACGGGGGACGGCGTGAAGTTGCTCTTCTCGCCACTGCCGGCGAATGACACGGAACATGGACAGAGGTTGTCCCTCCTCACCTCCACCGCAGGGGTGGCTTCATGTTATTATAAATGTGTATAACACGACCACGTCGACCCCGTGAATGTCACGAAAGGGGGGGTTGTTTTTCTGGGGTCTAATTCATAGTTTACTTAATGCATGCTTAAGGTATTCTCATTGTATCTTCATTGTGGCTTTTAAAAGAAAAAAGAAAAAAGAGAAAAAGAGAAAATCATGCTACCTGGTGCCGGGCTACAGTGAGAGATGTATAAAGTGTTTAGCTTGTGCGTCACTGTTCCAGATCTTTTTTTTTTCCTGGCGTAAGAGACTAGAAACCAATGTTGTCACCGACGCTGAGCTGTCCAAGGTGCTGGCCTACAACAGACACTGCTCACATGTGGCGCCTGATGCTATATATTTGAACGTTGAATGTACTATTTTACAACGAAGCGATTCTCTACCGTCAAAAATGTGCCAATTGTTATAGTATAAAACGTAATGTTTTATATTGTATATTTGAAAAAAATATATATATGACTATAAATACTCCCGGGCTCTTTTCTATTACTTTGCTTTGGTTTTATGCATTGACTATTGCTTTTCAAGGGTTCTTTAGCAAAGGGAATGGTTCTATAGTTCTTCATAGAACCATTTCATGCCTATATGGCTTTAGATTGACGGTGAACGCGCTGTATATGGTTCTAAATAGCACCAAAAGGGTTTTTGTATTGCTACAATGTCAAGAAGCCTTACTGGTGCTATACAGAACCATTTTCTAAAAGGTTCTATATGGAGCCACACAATACGTTCTCCATCTGTCTGAAGAACCTTTTCACCATGCAAAGAACTATTTAAGCATGAGATGATTCTATATAGAACTCTTGTTTCTAATTGGTTCTTGAAGAACCATCTTTTCAGGTGTGTATTTTCACACACCTCGTTTTTTTCCTTGCTTTTTCCTTTATGTTTATCCAGCGTGGGATGGAAAAAATGCAGCTTTTCCCATTTGACCATTTAAGCTTACTTATTCTGTTTCGCTCACTTTTGCTGTACTCAGGCAGGGTTTATTGACACAAATGCAACAGTGTGGGGGGCAGTTTGCTCGGACCTTTACGTCACTCCTTGGCAGGAAAAGAACCACGTTTGCATTATAGAGATAATCATGCGGATAAAGACTGTCACAGCGCCGCCACTCAAATATTCTAATCCTTCGATTGTGTCCCAGTATTTTGATGGTGAGGTATTTAGGGCAGGTAGATTCATCACACAAACTGTTTATGCTTCAGAAACAGAAGGGAGCCTTTTACAGGGCTTTCTACGCAGCAACTGCCTCTATATGTGGAGGCTTATGGCTGAGCTTTGGGGTCATTACAGGCCTCGGTTTGGCTTGTTGGCCGGTGTCGCTGTCCGTGGTGCTGAAACATTGTTTCTTAAATAGAGCGCATTGAAAGGGAGAAAACCCACTTGGACAAACGATCAGTTAATCAGCTGAGGTTAATCTGCTGACAGTGCGACTAACGTGCCATCCCTGAGGTCCATTTGATTGTAAACGTGAGGGTTAGTTTTGCACTTGAGGGGTGACCTCTCCCCCAGACACGGCACTGCATCGCTTATAAGGTTATGGGTACTTAAAAATCAATAGCCTGCTTAGTTAACAGGACGAGCAGGGCTCAGATTTTATTGCCATGTGTTGATGCGATAACAATGCATTCAAATTAAATGCACGATTGTGCCGCAATCAGAGAGACAAACAGAGTCTGCTCTTAAAAAGAAACGCGTGTTTTGTTTATCTATGATCTCATCTAGTTATGCGTGCGTTCTGTACAGTGTTTTATTCTAGATAGGATCAATGAAACGTCATGCTTAAAACAGACCTTTGCTCCTTTAAACGCTCCTTTAAACGCTCGTGTCTTTTCTGCAGGTAAGTCTAAGAGAGATGCATTCAGGCCCTGAGGAAGATGTGTGTGTGTGGGGGGGTGGGGGTGCATGAGTCACCGCGCGCGCGTACGAAGCAGCTGCTCTGAATTGAGAGAACCCCCCGAATTTGTGAATAAAGCACGTGGGTCGCGGGCTCGCGCGCCCGATTGGCTGGAATTTGGTGCAGTCTGATGGAGGTGTCATTGTGACGGAGGGCTGCGGAACCGGCCGCGTGCCTGTGCGCCTGGCCACAGGAATCCTTGCGCGCGGGCAGGAGGGAGGGAGGGAGAGCGGGAGGGAGGGAGCGCATGCCGCTCCGTCGCCACGGTAACGGCCAGACGAGCCAGTCAGCCAGCGCGTGGGCCGTGAGAAGCGCTGCAGGACGATGCTTTATTGGTGTGTGCGTGCTGTTGGACGACGATCCATTGCATTGCAGCAGGCCCGGCTGACCAAACGTTCGATGCATCATTGCATCTCCAAACCATCCCCAAGCACGAAAAGAATCACACGCGCCCGAGAACATACCCCCACCCCCCCCCCAACCAACCCCACACTTCAACCCCCACGCCCCTTGGGTCAATCGTCCGTGAAAAAGGGACAGAGTTGTGGTCATGCATTTTAATAGGCTCCACAAAGCGAGCTGGTTCGGTCCGCCGGGTGCCTCGTCACATACGGGCAGAGAAAGCAGCGCGTCCTTGAGTGGATCCCTCTCGGCTCGCGCGCTTCTCCTTAAGTATGTCAGTTATGTAAGTTTATTCTGGAGTCAGCAGGAACGATGGCAGCCAGATATGGGGAGGAATGCGGTTGCCTTGGAGACGCCAGCCGAGAGAGGGTCTAAAACACAGCGGCGGAAAGGCTGGAACATCAATAATTTAGGAAAACCTTACAGTGGGTGACATTATCAGCCTGGCGTTAGAGGCGTGATTTAGTATTAAAGTCATGGCTTATCAATGCACGAGATCAGTTCATCAAAGGACACTGTCATACTGTCACCTCGTTCTCCTAAAGCGTCTTCTTTTCCACGACTCGGTCTTTTGTCGTCCGTTAAAAGCCTTTCTGAACCCTCTGAGGTCACGTCCTTGTCGTCGAAGTCACTGCCATTGAATTGCAGTGAGTGAATATTCTATTTTTGTGATCGGTGCATAAACAAGCCTTTCAGTAGTCATTGCCATGGCAACTGTAAGACAGGACAGTGTAACTGTGCTTTCGTGTTATTCAGGAAAAAAATATCCTATCATCAGTAAAATCTCTACATGCTTTTTGTATTCGAAACCTACATGGCCGTTCAAAAGTTTGGAGTCAATGTTTTCAATAGTAAAAAACCAATTTATCTGCAGATAAGTGTGTACAGACTTGAATATGTGAGTTCTGAGCAACTTCATATTCAAATAATTAGAGGGAAGCTAGAATGATGTCCAGAATGATGGACAGGTAGGTACAGTAATGTGGTTAAGTCAGGGACCATCCTTCATTTATTTATTATTTCCAGCCAAAACAGCTACTAAATAGAAGTTTGCAGTGTCAGTAAAAATAGCAGAAAAGAGAAAATGACGTGCCTCGACAACCTTATGACATCATTTTTTTAGTATGTAATGTGTCCGCTCTGTCTTTATTACGGCTTCCATTCTTTTAAGTAGACTTGCTTTTAGTTGGAATCTGCAGGGATGTTTTTTCCACACCTTTAAAGTTCAGTCTTAGAAGTTGGTCACATTTTCTGCCTCTCACAATCCAAATAACCTAGAACACATTCAGTGATGTTGAGGTCTGAACACATTGTTCTTTATTTGATTTGCACATTTATTTCTTTTTTGTCTGTCTCCTTTTCTCAGTGAGGGCTTCTTGACAGTTGCACATCCTTTCAGACCCATAGCGCTGAGTCGTCTTCTCACAGTGGAGGGATGGACAGAAACACCTGTGGATGTTTTCAGATCTGAAGCAGCTTGATTTTCTCCTCTCTCCCAAAGATGAAAGCTGAACGTGTTGCTTTTTTCTGGGACAGTTTTGATGGTCTCTCAGGGCTTGCATGGCTTTTAGGAGACTCATTTTCATTATGAGTCTCCTAAAAAGCATGCAGTCGTTGCTGGAGGTTAGGGAACCAGCTTTGTGACCGGAAGGTCGCCGGTTTGATCCCCTGAGCTGACAGGACATGAATAAAGTGCCCTTGAGCAAGGCACCTAACCCCCAGCTGCTCCTTGGGTGCTGTGGATAGGGCTGCCCGCTGCTCCGGGCAAGTGTGCTCACTGCCCCTAGTGTCTGTATTCACTAGTGTGTATGTGGGTGTTTCGCTGCACAGATGGGTTAAATGCAGAGGTGAAATTTCCCTGTTGTGGGACTAATAAAGGATAACTTACTTTTTTATCTCAAGTTTTGGAAACTCTTGCATTTTCACTTAACTTCCTTTGACCTTCTCCTTCCTTATTCAAATTGATTGTTTTGTATTAACCTCCTCAGAAATATCTCCTGAAAAAATAATTTCCTTGTATGTAATGGTGGTTTTGACTGGAAAGTGAATAAATCTAGGGTGGTCTCTGACAAAAATGACTGAAAAAGCTGTGTGATATCAGGAATGAAAGCATAATTAATATATTCATATCTAGAATGTTTTGTATTTCAAGTGCTGATCAGATTTCAAGGCCTAACATGATGAAATATTGTAAATAAATAATTACAATATGTTGTTTATTGTTTAGTATTTTTTTTACGCTTACTAATGTGGAATATTGAATAAAACATCCAGAAATTACTTTTGGTATCTAGTGTATGACATTTAACTCCATATTGTACAAATTGCTCTTGCATATAAAACAAGAAAGACTGTTGAAAGGGAAATTCAATCCCAAAATTCAACGATTTCTCAAAATTCCTGCAAAATTAAATCATTAAGGTATAAACAAACTCTCTGTTCTAGTATTGTTACATACAGAATTGTTCACAGTGGTGGTGATAGGAACCAGACATCCAAAAAGTTTCCTGCCTGAAATCGTTTTTAAAATAAGGCTTTCGCCTAAAATGTATTTTTTGATGATTGATTCACAGCGGAGAGGTACATGCACTGCAAGATAGTTATGTTTTTCAGATTAACTACTAGTTTACCATGATCAACATTACATATACAGACTCAGAAGACACAGGTAGGTTCAATTGTGGTTTTGGATAACAGATACCAAGAAGGTTGGTATATACTCCTGACACTACCTTCGCCTACCTGTCGCTCTGGATAAGAGCATCTGCCAAATGCCGTAAATGTAGATAAAATGGCTGTATTTGCACTGTAGACATCATAACCCTGGTTCCTATCACCACTGCTGTGAAGGAGTCGGTAAGTTTTTTGTACAATGAATCACTTTGCATCTAAATACTTTTAATGACTTTCCATCTCAACAGTTGAATTATGCAGAAATGTTGAAAAATCATTGGGTTTTTTACCCCTTTAACCTTAAAACCCCAGCAACAGCTCTGTGCCTGGTACACTTGTAACGGCCCCACAAACATTAGAAAGTCACAAACTGCTGGACTGAAAATGGTCCAATTCCCCTCAAAATATCTGGTCCATTGGTGTTCCCTTTCTATTCATTGAAGGGGTAAAGGGGGCCAATAAATTGTGAAGCAACAGATGAGTTACAGTCTGT